GCCTCTGGAACTCCCTCTCACCTGACATCCGCAACACTGACTCTCTCCCCATCTTCAAATCACGTCTCAAAACACATCTCTTCACGCTCGCATATCCACCCTGCTCATTATCCACCATCTCACATCCTGTTTTATTTATTTGATTTTGTATATACTGCATTGTCTTGTTTATGTTTGCTGGTGTTTATGTATTGTGTATACATATATATATATAAATGTATATACACAAAAGAGGTTAAAGTAAGAATATTTAATAAAAAATAAATAAAATATTGATATAAACATACAAAGTTAAAATGTCCAATAAAAAAAAAAAAAAAGAATATGCAAAAAAAAAAAGAAAAATATATTTATAAAAGTACAAGAAGTTATGGATTATTATTTCTTTAGTTTGTTAGTAGTATTAGTTCTGCATGAGAAGCAGCTTCAATGACACATTTACAGGGAAGGAAACTTGGGAAAAGTTCATAAATGTCTGTAATATTTAACTCTTTACTCACATCCATGGTCTTCTTGTACTGCGAAGCCTTCTGTTTGTGCAGAGCGTCCATCTGCTGCTCCACCTGAAGGGAAAAGGTTGGGATTACTGATGATTTATTGTTACGGTTTTTACAGAGATCCCCTCAGCGCTGATTAAAGGCCTCCTATTGTGCTATTTTTGGGCATATATTATAATTTATGGGTCTCAGATATATACAAATATATATATATAAAAAACATGTCTATGAAGTGTTTTGCTCAAAATACCAAACAGATCATGCATTTTCGAAAGAGGAGGGGAAGCTAATGCCTGCTCAGAATTACACGAGATACTCAGCTAAACGCTGCCGTGATGAAACGCCATATCATGTTCCAAACCACATCAAGGATTATCTCTGAAACAGTCTGGAGCTCAAAGGCTTTCTCTCTTGCCGGTTATACCACAAGCTGAGTTCCTTTTTACTTCCTGCTTCTTCACACACATGCTCTCCAGTAGAGGTTAGCTCTGACTGTTAGCGATGCTAATTTAAACAAAGACCATATTACGTCCAAAACAGTCGGGCATTGTTTCTGATAGCAACGTTTCTGATTGGGCCGTGGGTCCACATTTCAGATATTACGTCATATCGGACGCAAATCTGGATCAGCTCCGTTGTTCCCCCGTTTTTAGAGATTTGGGTACGGAGGAAAAGAGACAGGGTTTTATTTTCTGACGCTGCGTGAGTTCCCCGACACACCGGGGACACATGTTGATGTAGAAAAGACATCAAAAAGTGCATTTTGCATGATAGGTCCCATTAAAAGCTCCGACCTTTTTCCTGGCGTCTTTCTGTTTCTCCCTGAACTCCTCCAGCTTCTTGGCCTCCTCCCTCAGGCTGTGAGACAGTTGTAAGTGAGACAGACTCACATGTTCAGTCTCTGCTGGCGCAAAAAACATATTTAAATTCTGAGCTACACATCAAACAGATACTAAAACAAACGGGAGTGTTATTCAGACGCAGAAATGTTAAGCACTTACGTAACTTGAACATGTCCAGGGAGCGTTTTAAAGTGCTGAAAGAGACAAAGAAAAGTAGATTACAGAAAAATGCACAGCTTTAATGAATCAATTAGATCAGCTTTATAAACCGGGCAGGAAATGTACTCAACATGTTCAATTAAATACCTGTTTGATCAAGCTGTACAGAATACCTGCTTTGTTTATCACTGAACAACGTACTTTGTGCATGTTATGTTTAATATTACTTTTTTAATCATGATTTACATTACATTATATACTATGTGTATTCTTTGTTTAGGACACTTATTTATTTTCCTAATTATTTATTTTTCACATATTTATTTAATTATTTCGTTATTTATTTATTGATATTTATTTACTTGATTTATTATGATACTGTCTATTAAGTGCATACTTAATTACACATTATCCTTGTGTTTAAATGAACTAAAACACATTCAGCCTAAGCAAGAACTAGTGGCATAACATTAAATTATTCAGCACCTCTTTTCCCCCTCTGTCTGAAACCAGAGCCCAATCTGCTCTGATTGGTTAGCTGGCCAGCTCTGTTGTGATTGGTCAACCACTTAGAGATGTCCCGCCCCTTAGCCTCACATGTAAAATGTGATAGAACGCTAGCTAATAGAGTGGTGCAGTGACGAGTCCTAAAACCCAGAAGTGATTCAGCATTTCACCACTTCCTGTTCCCTCGTCTCAGAGTCAACGTTTTTTTTAACTAGTTTTTCGGAAAATAGCTGGAAATAAGGTCTGTGGTTGAGACACATTTAAGAGACAGATCACGTTTTGACATTAAATCCATCAGCAGTGACCCCACTGGTGAGTTTTGAAGAGTTTACGTGTCTGAAAAACGATGGTTGTTACCAAGTGGCTGAATAGGACTACAGAAGTCGTGGAGGTCGTTATACGTCATTACACCGAACACGTAAACACTCCTCTAAGTTAGTTTGCCCTGTTCTGCTTGAAAGCAAGTCCCTGCCTCCTGCAAACTGTTCAAACAAACGCTTCAACTTGTACCATTTAGAATCTGTATGTTTGAATATTGATCTTAAGTTGGCGTGACGTTGAAGTCGTGCTGCTGAACTCGGCTGTAGTTCCTTTATACTATAAAGGGGTGTCAAACTCAAATACACAGTGGGCCAAAATAAAAAAATGGGTACTAGTCAATGTTTATTGCAGAACTTATTGAAATGAACTTATTGCACATATTAAACCTGGAACTAACAAAGCTGAAATGATTGCCTATAAAAACAACATT